TTTAGCTACTGCAGTCATTAGGCAGGTAGATACCAGGCCTTGGTTTTAAGACAAATCAGTCTGCCAGATATATCAGAGCACATATTTTCAAACTTTTCAAACATCTTAAGGACCATCTTTATCACCCTAAGACTCTTTTTTGTGTTTGGTTTGGTCTGTTGTAGTGGTTTAATAAAACAACTAATATACTATGGTGCGCCCTTTCATTCTTTTGTCTAATTTTTTCATGCTTCCATGCTCTACTGGACGTAGACTATCTCCACCAGTAAGAAGTCACTGGTTCATTTCTGATTCCGCTGTATTTCTCCCACCTGCCAGTCAGGCTGCTGGAACTGATTCCCGGTCGTCTCGTTTCCGTCCTCCAGCCAGTCGGCGGTGACTGATAACGGGAATGAAGTGGCCTCCATGTTTTGTTCAATGTGTTGAATAGGAACCTCGGCGTTCATATTCTTCTCCCTGTTCACCTGGTGACATAAACTTTATGTGCGTTATGCGTAATGAGGTATAATGAAGGATAGACTGTATTCAAATAAAGATGTCCTTCTGATGTGGGTTTTTTTAGTCCCGATTTCATCTGTTAATGTTCTTCTACTAGACTAGGCTGTAGCCAAAGATATCTGAGTGAGCCAAAATATTTAAAACTTAATATGGAAAAATGCCATGAAGCACATATTTTTCATAATAATTTTCATCAATAAGATTTAATTGTAAAGTTTTTGAACCCTGAACCCACAATACATTTCAGATTTGAGGCAGTCATATCAACTGTTAAATTACGCTGCCAAACCATTTGGCTCGCTGAGCATCAGCAGAGTCGCCTGTGGGTTAATAATCATTCACCATGTCACCATTATGGCAAATTTCACAGGCTAGTCATAGCCTAATCATACAGCAGCACATGTTTAATAAACCATTTCCTCGTGCGTTAAATAAAGCTAAATGCACTTGGTTTAAGTCCGTATTTGATTGAAAAGATGCTAACACAAAATACATCCACCAACCAGCGTGCATTACGGACATTTGGCAGACGCACACAATAATAATGTTTTAAGCGCAAGATGTTCTCCACAGGAATAAGACTCAATCTCTGTCAGAGTGTTACTTTCATCTGGCTTACCTCTGAGTAGGCTACGTGATAGAGTTGTTAGTTTTACATCAGTTTGTCCAACCCATAGCCAATTATGTCCGAAAATTAGACTCCTTCTGCGTACAGGTCAGGTCCATCCAACAATCCATCAAGACATCTCAGGACATCTCTGCTCTCTCTCTGCACACTTTCTCTCCTGGAATGTGTAACTGATTATAAGCTGATGAATGTGAGGGAGACTTACAGACAGGTACAGGCACGCGACTGTGCGCGTGGAGCTGCGCCAACTCTGTGTGAGGAGAGAGTGTGAGAGAGAGAGGGATGATGAATGAAACCGGAAAAAGAACAGAACAGCTGTGGCCGCACTCTGATTTTCTGTCTCAGTTGTAAAACGCTGCAAAAAAATGTTGTTAACGTGTTTACATGAAAGAGAGAATGTGAGAAAACGCTAAAAAAAAAAAAAAAATAACACAATTGAAAGAGAGGGAGTGGCATTGATTGAAGGCATGTGTTGAGGGAACTATATACCAAATCAACAGATGCTGAGAGAAAAAGGACCGACAGCTTGGATGCTGAATGGGAAAGCTACAAAAAGAATCAATAAAAAGGGAATGCCAGAGGCACATCCTGAGTCTCTACTTCTACATTTTCCAGCACCTGTGAAATTGCCTTTAACCATTTCACTATGTATCTTCTTCTATTTCTGCTTGATACAGCAGACACACGGAGAAGGGTGATAGACAACATGTGCAGGGTTGGACTATTGTGTCCTCTGGTCCTCTGAGAACAGGTCCTCTGAGAACTCTTTTGAGCTGGATTGTTTGTACATTTTCATTCTGTGTGTGTGTGTGTGTGTGTGTGTGTGTGTGTGAGTGAGTGTGCATGTACAGTAGGTGCACCTGAAAGCTTCCTCAGTAAAATGTTTCCTTTCAAAAGGGTCCTTTCTTGCTGTAGTTGTGTTCAGTTCTGTAACTCACAATCATCCTCCACAATCTCTTGGGTCCTTTTGTGGGTTTTGACATGGCTGAAGAGGTCAGACTTTATTGCACTGTGGGATTGTTCTTTTTTTTTTGGTTCCGCTGGTAGGAGATGAATTCCTGATGGAGTCTCTCTGTTGTTGGTGTCAATGTGGATCTTTTTCGGGTTGCGCTGTGCTCGATGTTTTTCTACCTCTAATCTATTCACAATCAGCACAATATCAATACAACATTCATCATAATTTATGTGCTGATCATCCTCATTTTATAAGTTCTGTTTCTCAGTGACAAAGCAAAGAGATGCTTCATCAAGTGATATATTTGATATCTGAATAAAATCCACAGGTCATGAAGTGGGGGCACTGCAGAGATGAAAAATGGGGTTGATCACCAATTCCGAAGTACTTGCAAAGTACATCTCTGTGTGCAGTTGTTGGAAAAACTGCTGCTGTCTACTTTTAGTTAGAGCTGTGGCATCTGAAACATGGCAAAACACTTAAATGCCCCCCCAGAGATCATATGAGTCAGTGTTTATGGGCTGTTGGTTTAAAAATGAACATAAGTGAACATAAATAAAAATATTCAAATCTGAGTGTATGTAAACGCGCACTGGGCACTCGATCATTGTCTTGGTTTGTCCTGGTATTTCTTGAAAAACACACACACACACAACACACTGCATCTATGTATGTGTGTTCAAAAATAGTAGAAAGATGTACTTTTTAACCTTGTCACTTATCGCTAAACACAAGGTGCCACTAAGGACACTCTGTACCTTTACAAAGTTGGCATTTCTAGAAGGTACTGTAGCAATGTTTGATCACTGCAGTAACTCTGTATTTTTCCTTGAAATCAATCAATAACAGAGCTCTACAATGCGTGTGACAGGTTATCTGTGATACTATAGCTATTTGCTTTTAATGTGTAATCCTCTTTTGTACTGTTACATCTTTTCTTGTGCTTTCTGTAGCCTTTTTTTTAACCTCTTATTTCATTTCATGTTATTCCTCACACGAGTGCTCTCTCTGTTCTTTCCTCCCTCTCAGGGGAAATCTACTGAATGTGTTTGCGTGTATTTGCACAGAAAAGAACGGATAGAGGTAGAGCCTTTTCTCTGTTGTGTGTGTATTATGTACTGCATGTGTACGCTTTCACAAATCCTTATTGGGCCTGGTGAAGGGCATGTTGAAGGGTACATCCAGGGGAATGAAAAGGGGAATGAAGAGCACTTAAGAAAAGTTTCTACCAAGCTGGTGTAACTGTACTTACTAAACGTGGTCTACTGAATGAATAAAAGCCTGAGGGGAAAATAAAAATGTTTACTGTTCAGGCTCTGAAACTAATGAGGAATGGATGAAACACAGCCTATCTGAATCAGCACAGACAAAGACAGATGGCTGCATCGACTCACACTGCCATGTATTCTGTTAACTGCTGCACCTGATCACATCTCAAAGATAACCACCGACAAATGCATGAACATTTTGCACATACTAATCTGTGTTCATAATCCAGAAAAACAACACTGAAAGATACACAAAACAGCCATTTTCATGCCAAAGGGAATCTGATAAAATTTGTTATACTCTGAGGATACAAATTAAACACCTAAAAAACCTGAAACACCTGATTAAACCTGAAACTGTTCAGGTTTTCTTGACTTTGCATTTGTGTTGTCAGCCCAGGGTCTTTTGCTTGCGGAAGAATATAAGAAAAGGTGCAGGTGATAAATACGGAGTAACCAAACTAGGTGGGTGAAAATAGTGAGACAGCCACTCAGACACTCTTACATGCTTTATCGGCTGAACGGCTGCTGATAAGGGTTGACCATGAGCCAATGGTGCCGGACATACAGTATACACTACGGGCAATGGTTGGCCACAGCCTGCCCAAAGATGGCTGCCTGTTGTTTTGGTGTATCAGGGCCTGAAATGTCTTGTGTGGTCCACAGCTTTATATATGTGGTTCACACAACATGTTTTTTTCATGTGATATGTAGATAACAAAGTTAGTTTGTTGCATGTATGTTATTGAAGCAACATGGGTTTATTTACCAGTTAAAGAGGGTCAACTTTACATTTCTAAATTGTGTGGTGGGCTGTGGATGAGATTTAAACTAAGGCACTGCATTGATGCCCCCAGCAAAATTAGTAGTAGTAAATTCAGTAGTCTTAATTAAGAGGCTCCAAAGCCCACATTTTGGCAAGTTGGACTGTGGTCTTTCGTGTCTTTAATAATGATTTAGTTACTGACACAACATAGTAGCGGTCTCCAATTCTGTTTGGTCTCCCTGCTATACCTCACCACTAGGTGGTAGAGTTACATGTTTTGACCATAGTTTTGACCTATGGTTTTGACTCACTGTGTAATCCGTAATGTGCCACTTAGTTACTATATTAAACCAAAGACCACTTTTAAACATCATGCTTAAAAGGCAGAGATAAAACTGTGTTTACCTTTCATGTTTCTGCCATGATAACACCATTTTATATCTGAGGCTGTTAATGTATCTGTATTGCACAGTCATTGGCAGCACAAGTCAGGAGGAATTTGTTTAAATAAAGACAAATACATTTTTATCACCACGCTTGCTTGTGATTTTGAAGACTGACAAATTCCTGAATTCACAGATTAGGCCTTAATACTGTAGCCTACTGCATAATATTTGGCAGTGTGGAGATTACTGACTGTGGAGAAGGGGAGGTCAGTCAGTATTACTGTAGCACTGTTTTTATACTGGTGTTCTTGGGCAAACCACTCTTGAGAAGTGAGACTTTTACCGGGTTAAACAAAAGAAAAAAGGAGCAAGTGCAAAGAAAACAACAATCGTGTTTCACCTTACTCATCAATCATTTAAAAAAAACTAATTTAAAAGTTTAACGGTGTAAAACTCCCCTTCGCTCCCATTCTCAGTTTATTTCAGCCCACACATCTCGCATCCATCCATCACACCAACGTGCACTCGCAGGTGTGGTGACGAGGAGTCAACGCGGAAGCACCAGCTCAGCGAGCCGCTGAAGTCAACTAGTCAGCCGCGATGACCACGAACGAAGCTGTTCGATACTGTGAACAATGCTCCTATATTTTCCTCAAATTCATCCTGTTCGCCTATGCCATCGTCTGGTGGGTGAGTAACGCCGTGGTTATGGTTTGTTAAAGACGAGCGTGCGCTGTTTGGAAAGCTTTCCCGGCTTGAGGGGGTAAACAGGATGTTTTTGTGTTTCTAGTGGGGCTGTGTGCGCGGTTCAGCTCCATAGGAAAACATGTAAATGTTGTTATGGCGAGAAAAAGACAGAGATATAAGATTGTATCCCCTTTTTGCAGTGTTAGTTTTTGTGGCGTAGACTAACGTACAGGTGTGAAGCGACAGGTGTTATCTTTTTGAGTACTCTGCAGGCTGTTAGAATGGGGCCACACCCTCCACCTTTGCCCCAGTTTACCTGTCTAGTCCGTACTGGGTTAAACATAACTAGAGAGCAGACAAAAAGAGGTACAGTATATTTTCTCGGAAATCCCAGACGCTGTAGTGCATGTCCACTGAAGTCAAGCCAGCCTCCACTTTAAAAACGACAGTCAAGCCAGCCCTCGCGCTGTTTTGCGATGCGTGTTTCTTCTAGGCATTACGGTAACATCGTGTCGCAGCACATTTCAAAATAAAAGTGAGCTTCTGCTGAATAATGCAATTGATGTGACAGAAACGATTGAATAAATAAATAAATGCTTAAGACACCACAAGTATCTAAAGAAAATATTACAGTCTCACAGAAAGCTTACTACGTTCAGCCAAGATTCGAACTCATGTAAAAACAAAACCTTCTGTTTCCACTGATTCATTTCACTTCACAGTGACAGCAGAGAAGTGGAGGCTGGCTTGACTTCAGTAGCCTAAATGACTGCATTAAAGTTGTGGTAGGAATTTTATTTCAGAAGCATTTTTGTTAGATTTGTTGAAATTGTCTTTACATCCCGACACAATCAATAAATAAAATGCTCCACACCAAAAAAACGGTATCTGTGGCAGGTCACAGGCCTGTAATAAGCAACCTGTTTACCTGCCCGCACTAGCTGCCCGTGCACTCACTGCGCATGGAAATGTGTTGCGGGTGTGTGTGGGTGAGTGGCTTTTGGAGGCCTGAAGGGAGGGGGTGGGATCATTTTCTGTTGCTTACTTTCAAAATCTAGCTGTTTCTTGCTGGTTCTCCAACGTTACCTACCCTAGCTTTAAAGTGAGTTGGTGCAGTAATTGTACTGTAGACTACAAATAAGTTAATTATAGGTAATGTTTTCAAAGATATTGTGAATATAGTGAAATGGTGAAAGCCATAGCCAATGGCATGCCACAGTGCTCCACAGCTTGAAATATTATTGAAACCAGATGGAGTTTATAGACCAAACTATGATACTCTCCCTGTTGTATCCTAGCTTGTTTTTGTTTTGTGTACTCAGCTTTGAAGTCTCTGGCTTGCAGTCTATGCTGAAAAATAGCGATACAATTTGGTTTGTTTGGATTTTTTCACAGCCTTAAAGGTTCAGTGTGTAAGATTAAGTGCCATCTAGTCGTGAAGGTTGTGAATTGCAACCAAATAGCGTAGGAGTAGCTAAATAATGCATGTGGTCCTCCATTTGTCCTAATTTCACATCTCTTTTTACCACTTCGCATCACTTTCCTTGCGGGAGTTTTATCGCTAGACTACTACTAGCTAGACTACTAATGCGAATGAACACAACCCGCAATTAAAATAAACAGTTTCTTCCTTCAAGCCATCACTCTGATGAACAGTTAACTTCTGACTCAGCGTGTCAGGAACAACTTCTGTGCAAAAACCCACTAACTGTCTCTAATCCGCCACCTGTTTACTGGTTACTACTTATTATTTATTTGTCATTCTGTATTTCAGTGCTGTTCATACTGTTGTTAAATCATATAATCCGTACATCATATCCACCTACCTCAAGTACATAACACCCGCACATAATACTGTATGCCACATCCAGTGTTGGGCAGGTGAATCTAAAAGTTTTGCATTTCCACTTAGGGGTGTACTCTCTTTTGTTGCTAGCGGTTTAGTAATGGCTGTGTGATGTGTTATTTTGAGGGGACAGCAAATTTACAGCTATACAAGCTGTACACTCACTACTTTACATTGTAGCAAAGTGTCATTTCTTCAGTGTTGTCACATGAAAAGATATAATCAAATATTTAGAAAAATGTGAGGGGTGTACTCACTTTTGTGAGATACTGTATAAGATAAAGAGGTTCAAAATATATATATACTTTTACAATCAATATCAATCTTATTATAAAAGAATATGTTTTCATTAATTGAAAACTAAACCAGTCAACGTCTAACCAAAATAAGATGGTACATATACAGTCATAAAATAAATGACACTTGGTTTCAGTTTCTTTATTGTAAAAACACATTATTCCTAATATCAGTCCTGAATCTTAATACTAACTGTTGTTTGTTTGATAAACGTACGATAGCAGTTAGTGATAAATATGTTCTAAGATGATGTGATTCCTGGAGATGGCACTTGTTTCCACAAATATCTTATAACTTTATATTACTTTGATATTACGGAAACAATATACTCTGATGGCTTGCATTTCTGTTTTTAAAGAATACCAGTTTTCTGCAACATATTCTAACCCTGCAGCTGCTCCCACTTTGATACAGCACAACAGATTGTGTATTTTTAAAGACAGATGGCTGATTGACATAACACTTACTGTACAAAGGAAATCACTTATTTGTTTCTTTTGTGAGACATTTCTGAAACATTTATTCATGGAGAGAGAGTGAGTGGGATGGTGAGGCAGAGAGAAGCAGAGGACTCAGTAATGGGTTTATTATGGAGACTGAATGCTGCCTTGATAGGCGAGGTTGAAGCAGAATAGTGATTTATTATTTATTTACTTTGCTCATACAGCTTGTTGATTCAGTCATGTTAAAGAGTCGTTCTCCCCACACACCGTCTCCGTAGAATGTGGTTTGTGAAACAGTGAAGAATAAAGTTTAGATTAGGGCTGTGTGATATGACAAAAAAAATTCATATCCCGATATGGCATTTCAAATTGTAACTCTGATTCCGATTCTGGAGAAATCCAACGCCATGACAAATACCATAAAAGAGTGAACAACGACATAGCAAGTAATGTAACTGTTAGCTAGGCTGTGGATTAGCAAACTGACGCCACTTGCTGCTGCAAAGCTAACATGAGAGGATGAGACTGTCCCAGAGCAGCACAGTAGCTCCAGACAGCGACACTCACAACGTTACAGCTAACATCACAACAACAGCATGTCTTTGTGAACTATAAAGTAAGCTTTATGTCTGTGGGCAACGTTACCTGATTGACACACACATCATGGATAGTGTTGGGTGGCTTGTCCATTATTTTTAATGCAAATTTGTTCTCTGCAACACCGGCACGTGTGGAAGAATGGACCGCGGTGAAGTTAGTTTCAAGTTGGACATTAGTCTGTCTCCGGTCTGAGATGTGAAGCCAACCCCAAAGTCACTTAAACCGCCATTCTATTGAACAGCCAGCAGGGGGCGACTCTTCTGGTTGTAAAAAGAAGTCCGGTCCCTATAGAAATAATGGTAAAATGACCCTACTTCTCTCCTAATTTATAACCTCCAGTGTTTCCCACAGATTGACAGCGTAACTGTGGCGGGGGGTGCAGTAGGTGTTATGCCGAATTTTGCATGCCTGCTGAGAATTATATGAAAATGCCTTAAAGTTCTTTTAAACGCTATACTATTGTTTGTGGGGTTCATCTATAGTGATAAATGATCAGTATATATTTTATGAACGTTAAGAATCGTTAATATATTATTACACTTAGTAAAAGTATCATTTCTTGAGATTCAGCAAAAACATGTGGTGTTAACCGCATTCAAACAGCAAAGTGTCCTAAAAGGACCTTAAGAAGTGAATTGCATAATTCGGCAAAACAGATATTGTAGGCTACCTACCAAAATTTGCATCCACTTCTTTTCTCACTATAACAGAGCGTTACCTCCCGCGAAGTGTCATGTCACTAGACCTCGTGGGAGCAAGGCCTGATCATTGTTATAAACTCACAGTAAGCTCACGCAGTCTACCGGAGGTAGATTGTGTCTGACTTGACGGCGCTGTTTTTATTCCCCTATCTATCAAGTCGGCGAAAGTCAGTCAGTTATCTCAAACGCACTTCTAGACTACCGGTTATACGATTTATTTGACAGCTGTTCTCCAAAGTTAACATAGCTATCCTTATTAGCTAGACTCCTTACATGCTTGCTAATAACTGTTTTGAAGATGGGTCTCCGACATTGACAGCGTTGTGTTGGACAGATTTGTGCAGAGGTGTTTATGATACCAACCAGTTAAATTCATACAGGTCTATTGTCCATGTTTGCGAGAGAGAAAGAGAGAGAGCAACCGAATGAGAGGATGTGCGGACCGAATATCGTTCTGCAATCAAGAACGATTTTGGGTCGCCAAATTTACTTGGGCGGCTGTTAATCTACCTGGGCGGCCCGCCCAAGTAAAGCCTATGTATGGAAAACACTGACCTCAGTAAACACTTTCCTAATAAGTTTTTTTTTGTCTCAATCGTTAGTTTCAGGTCTTCTTCAATAGAACATGATGTTCATTTAGTAAATTATGGTCCCATTTAGAGGAAAATAGACCATAAAGTACAGTATGGTTCAGGGCATCTATGATTGACATGTTGTCAATGGTTGCAAAAAATCAACATGGCGGCGTACTCTAGGCCAAACGGCAGTCCACAAACCACGATGACTGTCCATTATGTACAGTCTATGATTTTCCGTTGGACATTCGATAGATGTTGAATTCCAACGTAAAACTAACTTCACCGCGGTGCAAAGTAGGGCTGCAGCTAACGATGATTTTAGGACTCGAAGCTTCTATAGATTATTTCATTGATGCATCATTTAAGAAGTACTTTTGCTTGCCGGCGTCACCTGTGTATGTTGATAGATGATAGATATTTATTACATTTATATTTATTCATTTAGCTGACGCTTTTAGACAAAGTGACTTACAGTTGCTATTTATGTAACAAACAAATGCATTTTAGTAATCGAATTAATCGATGATGATTGTTGCTC